GAAATCTTTCTTTGTCAGCCTGTCAAGCACCATCTGGGATCGTTGTGTTCACTCCCAGGGGAACTACTTCGAGGGTGATGGATGAATTTAATACCTGAGATAAGTGTACGGGTTTTTATACGCGCAGTCTGGAAACTTTCCGATCGCACCTCGTAGTTATGCTCTGACATAAAATGATAGTTAACTTTTCCCCAATCTAAACGAAACTGAAGTCGCTCATTAACGTTTTCGTAAAACTCTCAAATATCAAATCTTATCGAAATCGGCCTATCCGTTATTGAACTGTACGGACGTAAGGAAATCGTTTCAGTCAACGTTCCGCAGAGATACGAACGCAAGTAAAAGTGAATTTACTGTACAAGTACAAATTATACTTATTTCATCGTATTATGAAAATTGCTTATTTTTCTGTTTATCAATTAATTTTATTCTTATAACTTACGTGTGTCTTTTCATTCTGGTTTCCTAGTATGACCCTCACAAAAGGGTCACACAAGGCCGACTTGTCGAATCCTGGTCTCATCGCTCCCTGGTAAATGTAAGAATGGCACACGAAGACCTGAAAAAGCAAATATGGTTCTGCTTAGTGGTCTTCAGAACTGCGTGATTTTGGAGACAGGCAAATGATACGGTTCCTTAAGAGCGCCATATTTGTACCTGAGTTTTATTTTGTTTGTTAAATTAATAGGATTCATTTACGTGATACGTGTTGGTTGAAGATTCAATAAGCGCTTCTCTTATAAGTGAAACTTTTTTCTGAAATATAATTAGCCCTTTAAAGAAGATAAATAACAAGGTACATACAAAATGGAGACTAATGTAAACACAGGACGGGGAAGTTTACAATGTCAATTAACGCAAAAGATAATTCTGTTTATTCGCCTATAAACCAACTACTTGGCCACTAATAGCAATCTTACGTGATTCTCCGCGTAACGAATGACAGGTGGTAGGGGCGGATGTTCGATGTCGCCACTGGGTTCGGATCCGAATCCATCGACAGGGTCGTAACCTGTGGGCAGCGAGTTAAAACAGGTGTGCACGTCCTCGGAATTTCCCAACCACAGCGCTATATCAAGCTTACACGTGGTGCTAGAACTGCCCGCTTTATTAACTGGAGCCTGTAATGGAAAATGTTGAATAATTTCGAAGTACTGAATATAGCAGCATATCTTTCGTAAATCAGGACAAATTAATTTAGATTTACCACTGTTGTTGTCATTAAAGAACTAATGACCTGTCTTCAGACATAATTTCGTTTTTTTTATTTCTTTCCAGAACAAAGTCCTTAACTTTTCCCTAACAGCCAAGACGCTGATTCAATAACATGTACCAGGTAGGGCTCTAACCTTCATAAACATTGACTGCAGGCGACCACAATCTATTCCACGCTCCTCGGGTTCCTTGGAGAAAATAATACTTCGTGCCGACACTCTGTGGAATACTAGATGCTTCTTGCCAGACACGATCCACACGAACACGTCCGGATGTGAATTCTGCGGCTGGGGATATCAAGATAAGAGCATAGTCGTTGAATGAGGAAGTCATCGAAAAAAGCCTATGAAATCTAAGAATGAATGATGATTGTGGTGAAATTATAACGAACTGCAGGGTTAGGATTTGAGGTTTTCACGGCCGAGAGATCGAAGATTTCTGTCTTCTGGGTTGTTGCGCTGTGTAGTCTGGTCGATGTTAACCAACGTTTCAGAGGTCATACTGCCTCCGTCTTCAGGGCGATGAGTATGAAGATTTCTGTCTTCTGGGTTGTTGCGCTGTGTAGTCTGGTCGATGCTAACCAACGTTTCAGAGGTCATACTGCCTCCGTCAACAGGGCGATGAAACGTTGGTTAACATCGACCAGACTACACAGCGCAACAACCCAGAAGACAGAAATCTTCGATCTCTGAAGTGTTTGTAAATTTCTACCAGACTATACGGCACAAGAATCCAGAAGACGGCCATATTCTTGCAGGAGGGTTGTTAAAAATTAACACTATGGTTTCTATTTTATATAAATAAATATTTAATATGACATTTTAATCATTATGTTTTCGCTTTTATACCATTAATGTTTATACATATGATCATGCGTACAAATATTTTATAAATACTGTGCTCGCATCTTTCGTGGGACTATTCTGGGAACCATTAAAGTGTGATGCTTATACACATTGCTTACCAATTCCTCATAACTGAAAATCGCAGACTTATATCGGTTGGCCAGTGAAAAAAAAATAAATTAAAACGTGGATTAATTTCTCATGTTAAACATTAACGATTTTTAATCCTGTATTTACTTACGTCCTCTCTGAGGAACGTCACTTCCTTTAAGATGTCTTGGAGTTGGTGCAGCGTTGCGTTTATGTTGTCTTTTGTAAACTCGGCTTCTAATTGTTTGAACACGCCTTTCATATTTTCCTGCAATAAAATTGGCCAGCTTGTACTTCTTCGAACGAACATGTATACTGATTTCATTCATAAAAGGTGTAAATATATAGTCTTGTAATTGTAAACTCTTACAAAGCTTCATACAAAATTTCCGACAGCGTATAAAACACGAATATCAAGGAAGAGATTCAAAGTTAAGCAAGGAAGTTTTGATAAAGCATATTTTCTGACCGTAGAGAGATTAACTGCAGCGAACTTACCACTTTTCTGCGGCAGAATTCTCCCCTCATTTCGTCCAATCTGTTGGTGCTTCTTCGGTTGTACTGTTGTTCCGAGGTGATACTCAGGTACCTGTTACACCAGTCGCCCAGTTGGGGCAGCAATCTCTTCACAAATTCCTCCATTTCGAATTCGCTCTCCCTTGACTGTGACCGTAAAATTGCGTCATTCTGGAAGTAACATATTTCATCGTAATGTATTACTGTCTTGGTGGAATGATTATCACGCCTCTTTCGAATTTGGGAGGTCCCTGGTTCAAATATCGACCCGCAGATCGAGAGTTTTCGTGATTTCCTATAGTTCCGGGATAGTGCCTTAAATTAGGACATGTTTTCTTTCTTCCATATAATTTCTAATTCAAGATTCGAGGTTCATATTATCATTCAACGCTTAATAATTTCGGTTACTGACAGGATCGTTAAATAAACCACAAATAAAAAGGGGGACATTTTTTATGTAACGAATTCAAGGGCAAAAACCATGTTCATGCTGCATGGAGTTTCCGGCCTTAGAAACCTTGCGTTGTTTATATTACAGGTAGGCCGGGCTTAAACTAACATTTAAATAAAAATGTTCTCAAGGCTTTCGTGGTCTTTTGCTGTTTACAAAAATATTGACAAATTTCAGTTTCCCACGGCGGCGAGTATGGAAATTACTCTGTACTGGGACGTTGCGCATTGTAGTCTGGTAGAAACTGACCGACGTTTCAGATGTGCTTACGGCCTCCATCATCAGGTCAACTCCTGAAACGTCAGTCAACCTCTACGAGACAACCCGACACAGCATCCCAGAAGACTTACTTGTCTGTCGCCTTGGCAACCTCAAATCTAACACAAAACCAAATAAAGCAGACGGAGAAACAAAATGGAAGGATTCCAGATTATGGAAGACGATTACATGTAATTATGATAAATGAATGAGAATACGTACAAGCATGCTAGTGAGTTGATTCAGAAAGTTGGAATGGTACATGCGATGCTTGGTGTCGGGACACGTTGCATGTACGTACACACATGGCTTCTCGTTGCCAAAGCCCACGGAACAGTAAGATCCCCCTTTTACCATCTCAGGTTTCTGGGGCGATGTCATGTTCTGAATCTTCGGTACCTCGTCATGTACTTCTTCTGAAATTGTAATTATCAAAGTGAATCTCTTAACATACGGTGGGACGAACTATATGCACTCTACTTACAAGAACGCAATCTTACTTATTCCAGACATTAACCTGAAAATTTAAAAAGAGCACATAACTCAATAGGATTTTAGATTGTCGCGGCGGTGAGTCAGAAGATGGCTGCCTTCTGGGTAGTAGCGCCGTGCAGTCTTCTGCTAGACTACACGGCGCTACAACGCAGGACACAACCATCTTAATACATAAGCGCTATAAGGACACTGTAACTATACATCTTACTACACTTATTTCTCAGTAACTCTTCATCGATACGACAGAACATATTTAATATTCAGTTTTTGTTCCACCTTGCAATTATATAATATAAATAATAGAGACTATCGTTATTTTGCGTTCGACTGTACTAGGTGAGATATTTTCTAGTCGGTTCGCTTGTATCGAAAGTCGGTTATTCCTTCACATTGTAGGTCCTCAAACATGCCGTCGAATTGTTATTTCGACAGTTATTTGATACTCTCTACAACACTGTTTATGGTGTCACTAAACCTGCCAGATTTTTACCACAACAAACAAACAGGCAACATTTTAATTTTATATGTTCACGTTTAGAGGTGGTGATAACATCTTAACATCTTAAAAATGTGCATGTAGTCTCCGTTTTCATAAATTTTATAAATTCCGATGTTTACATCTTGTAATAGCACATAAATGCTGACCAAGACGAATTTCGCTGACATATCATAGACGTTCAATCCAAATTGAATCGAAATACTTTACGCGGACAGAATGATGAATCACCCACATGATATAGCCACTTCATACATTCCATTGCAAACAGCACGTAAAAATATAAATCGGCACCAGAGATTATACTTCTAAAAGGAGTCCCTGGAAAGAAACTAAAACTGTGAATCCTAAGAAATGATTGAGGATGAATAGGATAATAATATAGCTGGGATCAGTACCGTATCTTGTTTCGCCTGCTTTGTAAAATCAAATGAAGCCAATAAACATACCTGGCATGTCTGGAATTGGCTCGACAGCGGACTGTTGTCCATCATACAGCATGTTGCCAACGTTTCCTAAGCTGATCTCAACGTGAATTGGTTTATACTTTATTTTCTTGTCCAGCATTGATACCTCCCACACTACACCCACAAGGATCAATTCTTCCGTCTTCCAGCATTCTTCCTGTTACACACAAGTGAGCAAATTGTACTCCACCTTTTTTATTTAGGTTTTTTCATACCTCACAAGCCTTGTGTTCACTCGTCACAAGCACAGATCTATTACAGTATATACACAAAAGAATGGTGCGGAAAGCTGCTTGTTACCCCAACTGAATACCAATTAACTTTTGAAACCGCACCATTCTTTTGTGTATACCCTGTATCACAAAACCATTCGTACTATACCCACATATCATATTAAAAGGAGTCGTGAAATATTTTTACTTGTATTTCGTTAAGTATTGAACCCATAAAAATATGTCAAAACCATTCGTACCATACCCACATATCATATTGAAAGGAGTCGTGAAATATTTTTACTTTTATTTAGTTAAGTATTGAACCCATAAAAATATGTTTTAACAGCTGTAGAACTTGATACTGATTCGCTGCAGCTCCTTGTTTGGTGATGCATTTCTACCCATAATTAATTTAGTGTATCCAGTTTTTGCAAAAAACTCGTAATTGACAGAAAGTCATACAAATGCCAATGATTTTAATATTTAGTGATAGTATACTATTACTGCTTCTTACATAGTATATACCTACAGTTTTTAAATTCCTGAAGTTAGTGGTTCATACCCTATATTTTGCAAAACGTTAACAAGATGGTTCGCAGTTTATGGGTTAAGTGTACTTTTTAAAGGTTTTTCTTCCTTAATTCAAACTTACACTTCTCTTAGTACACACAAGAGGATCTGAAACCAATGCCATTAATTCCACATCTATGGGGACAGGGGCGGAGTGTCTATGTTAACTGTTTTAACCGTGTTACGATCGTGGCGAGCGTAAGCTTCAAATTCCTGGCTGGATTAAGCTGGTTAACGTTTTATTTTATCTCATCGGTTGTGCTGTTTTTAATTTGTCGTTTTGCTTTGTTTAATATATTGACAATCATGAATAAGCACTGTAACCCGATAACCAGCCTAACACGTAAGTAGAACCTACGTTTCCTTCTTACAGCCAGATTCACGCTTATTAATGCTTTGCTTACTTCGAAGATATTCGGGATGGGGCGATGTGCAACACTCCGCATGCCTTTAGTCACTCCACTTTCCAATATTTCCGTCTGAAGAGCTAGCAGTAGTCGCCCTTTGTACGCCGATCCGTCGCCCTGAACCTCCACCCAAGACTCCTTTCCAGACCCCGATGAAGATATAGATCCATACAAGTGAACGAAGGCAGGTCCGAACGTCGGTAAGAAATCTGCAGCAAAATGGAAGATGCGAGGTTGAACTACAATGTATGAAATCCAGCAATATAGGAGCACAAATTGTCTAGAAAACTAAATGTCTCACCACAATGTCGTGTCGGAATCAGATGATACGTACCGGATGGGAAAATGGTCATTAATTGTAAGTAGATAAGGTTATACCGCCACGGTGGTCTAGCGGTTAGAACGCTGGCCTTGTAATCCTGGGGTCTCGGGTTCGATTCCCGGCGGTGCCCGAATTTATAACTTGTGTTGGGCAAGGCCGTGGTCTAGGCAACACGGAGTTTTCCTCCGTGGCATCCCAACAATTACTCCATTCACACACAGAAGAAGGCAATGGCAAACCACTTCTGGATCATCTGCCAAGAACGTATATGAACAGGTCCCAGTCCGAGAAAAGGAGGGAAGGATCATGTTCATATGGACCTGTCCTCAGACAGAACACTAAATAATAATAATAATAGATAAGGTTTTGGACCCGAAGGGAAGAGATTCCGACTTATATCAGAGGGTAATATTAAAGTTGATTTTAAAAATATCATTTTGGAGTTCGGAGTGGGTTCTTCTAATACATTATAAAAAACTATTGTGCACACGGCGGTGAACCGTTGGGTCGTGGAACATCTTGACCAGCCGAGCAACTGATAGCACCTAAAGAAAAATCTGTTTGCTCTATAAAGTTAGTTAAGGACTTTGAAAGAGGTGGTTGAGGGCTGTTGGAAAGTAAACCATTCTTACTGCACTGTGGCTAAGGTCACCACCATCTTACCGTGAATGCCTTGATCGCTGGAGATGGCCGGCAGGTCCAGGAGATGCGTGGCAATCACACTGGCACCCAACAGTTCATGTTCCCGCACCTGCACTCTTATCCTCTGCCACAGCGGGGGGTATGAATCGTAGAATGCAAGCTCCTCGTTCCACGTCGGCGCATTGGTGTGCTTTTTTTCGGTAGTTTTGCCCTAAACACACAATTTCCATTATATTGCACCATAGGGAACAATTTTTTACAAAATAATTTTTGATATCTGGTAAAAATCTGATAAAAATGTACGCTAGCATAATGTATGAAAATTGTATTTGAATTATTTATCGTTTTGAAGCTTTATATAATTATATACACCTGAGGATGGTTCTTTTAGGAACTGAAACATGAAAAATGATTTAGACGGACAAGATTTAATATATACTCAATTTAAAATAATTTGACTGTATTTTACTGTACTAGAGAGCGCTGTTTTCCATTCTCCGCCAACAGGCTTGTGTAGATTGTTTACTTTATATATTATTTAGCGAAATGTAATTTGACAGGAAGATTATTCACTGTTTAATGTGTTGGCGGGACGATTGGCGGATATGGACACACTGAACATCGCTACGTCTTCAAACTTACTCCATCCTACTACAAAAACAATATAGAAATCTGACTGAAGATAGACATATTTAGCCTAACCTCGAAACGGAACACGTAGGAAAAAAAACCCGTTGATTTCAAAATAATAAAAACCTTTCTTAAAATACAAGGCGATACCAAAAATGTGTCAGCTCGCAAAGCGATTAAAGCGTAGGCAGCAATACAAAGCACGGAGGTAAATCTCGACGCATTTTGCACATCTGCAGTACAAGTGAATAATCAGTTTGAAATCTGCATCTACTGGAAAAGAATAATTCTTAGGCTACTAAATGACGTTGTCGCGGTTGTGGGCTCTGAAGGACACACACTTACCTTGTTCCCGGCGAATGACACTTGGACGTAAGCGTCAATGGGGAAGGGAATGTTGTCGGCTCGATAAAGGCGCACCAAGTAACGAGCCCTTTGCCTCTGTGACGTTGCCCCATCGGGCACCAGCATGTTCCTGCAGCCACACGACGTTCATCTCATTAATGCACAATTTGTTCTTTGCACTAAATCGACTAAAAAATAAGGCTATGTTTATCTTTTTCGTACGCCTGCTAGTTAATCTCCGAGACTGTGAATAGACGTCAATTTAATTTGGTAGATCGATGCTAAAAGTTGTCCAGAAAACTTAGTTTTGGTTTGTTTTTTCCTCTGAATTAATTAATACAACGTATAGTTTCATATAATATTTTATTTTCCGTCTATACACAAACTTAAAATAATGTTGTTTAAAATTACTTAAAATTATAACATTCTCAGTAGATACTGAGAATATTTAATGCTTTACAGTTCATCGACCCAACCCCCTGAACAACTTTCACTCAATATATATAGCCACACGCGACACACACATCTCAGTTGCAGTCTACCGTCTCTTAATATCGGACACACAACACATCAATTACAACCCGGTATGTTTTACTACCTTTTACTACTTTTTATTATGATTCTTTTACATTGTATTACGTTATATTACGTAATAACTCTTTAAATTATTAAATTTCCTATGTCAATATCCAAAATCACGATTTGAAAATTAATTTTACAGATATAAAACATCCAAGCACAACCTCCAAATTTAAAGGAAGAGACAAAAACTTAAAATTAAACAAATCAAATTAATCAATATACGCAACGCAAGATGTACAACAGTTTTTAAAATATATTAAAATTGATAGACCTGATGATGATGTAATACACATTGAAACATGTCGTCGATAACAAAAAATGTAACAAGATGCAGTATCTACTGAGAATGTTATAATTTTAAGTAATTTTAAACAACATTATTTTAAGTTTGTGTATAGACGGAAAATAAAATATTGTATCAATAAAACACAAACATGACGCAATTAAGATATATAAAAAAACAAAAAAAAACGTATAGTTTATTTAAACATATTAGGAACTGTATTCGTAGTGTAACAATTCTCGTACATTCTATAGAATTTGACCTTTGGCCTTTGGAAATGGTGGCAGTGATGTCAAAAACATGTGCTTACCCCTCAATGTCGTCGTCTTCATGTGTTCCCAGAGAGTGGTGTACTTTGATTTTGTCGCCTTTCCCGATTACGCTGATATCGCATTTGAGGAAACCCCTTGCACCGCTTGTCGTGTCTTTCCGATCCAGCAGTACAGCCCACTTGCGGTAAAACTGGTGATCTAAATAAATCATCAAACGAATACTTGAAACTGTGTCCACAGCATAACGCAGTGGCGAGTATCGTCATTGCACTTCTCAGCGAAATGATCAATGAGGCTGCTGGCGTGAACGCGGTAAAGAACCTTCCGTTTACACAAAAGGCGGGGAATTTTGCTGACTAGCTGAGCAACTCTCAGATTCTCAAGAAGTACATGCTCCATAAAGTTAGTTGTGGAATCTATGTCAGATGTTACAGATTTAATGCGGTCATATAACATCAATGTCAGTGAAAGCGTATCAGATCTAAACAATTATAAAATTTACGAATAAATACATTGGTGGCAAAATTATTCTTGAGGAGCCCACCAAACCACCTTGCAGATGAGAACAGAGGACACTTCCTGGGGTCAAAGCTTTCGGAGCGTGAAGATGACCAGTTCCATCCGTCACCACATACATCTTCATGGCGTCGTGCTTAATAAGGCCTACAATAGACTAGTCCCTGATTGATGGTATAGAATCCTGTGTTATTATAGGAGGGTCATGCTACAATCGGGCAAAGGAACTAAAGACAAAATCAACATTCGATTTTAGTCGTTTTAGATCTGAAAGTACAAACCCCCTTCACCTTACGATGGTCGTATAAGAAACCAATGAATTCAACAGAGCATAGTCTTTTTTATGTAGCTGATAGGACACTCAATTGGTCAAGAAATAGCTCGCCTTATTTGTAACCCGAAGGGTCATTACCATGTTCACAAAAATAAGCCACTGGTCCCAGTCCTGAGGCAGCTGAATCCAATCCGCACGCTCCCAACACACTTGCCTAAGATCTGTTATAATATTGTCCTTCCACCCAATCTTAAGTCTACCTGGTGGTGCCTTCCTTCAGGCTTCACGACCATAAATGTGTACTCATATTTCGTCTACCCATACGAACCACATGCCCCGCCCACTTCATCCCACTTAATTTGATCATCCTAATAATATTTGGCCAACAGTACAAATTATTGAACTCTTCGTCGTGTAATTTTCTCCACCCTCCTGTCACTTCATCTCTCTCGGGTCCAGATGTTCTCATCGGCACCATGTTCTCAGACACCCTAGAGTTATATTCATCCCCTAATATGAGATCAAGTTTTACACCCACACAAAGCCACATATAAAATAAGTCTATAAATTTTGATCTTTGCGTTTCTAGAGAGCAGACGAGAGGACAAAAGTTTCTGAACTGCTTCATAGCAAGCATTCTACCTAATGTAACCTGCTCCTATTTATTTATTTAGTGTTCTGTCTAACGACAGGTCCATATGAACAGGATCCTTCCATCCTTTTCTCGGACTGGGACCTGTTCATATACGTTCTTGGCAGATGATCCAGAAGTGGTTTGCCATTGCCTTCTTCTGTGTGTGAATGGAGTAATTGTTGGGATGCCACGGAGGAAAACTCCGTGTTGCCTAGACCACGGCCTTGGCCAACACAAGTTATAAATTCGGGCACCTCCGGGAATCGAACCCGAGACCCCAGGATTACAAGGACAGCGTTCCAACCGCTAGACCACCGTGGCTAAAACCTGATCCTACGATCTTATAAAGACTATATAAATCCTAAATATTACTTCAGAAGAATATCAAATGCCCTTTTCCCCAAACATGGTTGTGGTGCTGTTTTATACGCAATTAAGTTTTTTCACTGCTGAATTAAGTGGTTGATAGATGAAGCCCTAGTACCGTGTCAGGACACAGAATTCAACTTGACGAACACAAATATCCCCTCCTGTCATTGTTTTAATGGTGACCAAGTATATAAATGTGTCCTGCTGCACATGTAACACTTATGTTCTCGCTCACCTGGCTGCCGCCACACTGTAGCTACGTCAAGACTTATACGTCCCAGCTCTTTCTTAGGATACATGATTCTCCGGTTTTGAAGAATCTGCAAACGTACAAACGATTATTAAAGGCCTAAGCAAGAGTGAAAATGTTTGCTTCAAATTCATATACTTCAGTTCTGTTTGTTTCTGAATATCACGTTGGTCTTTCATGTTTAATGAATTACGAATTTACTCTTGCAAAACTAACCTCATTATGTAGGCTTTTATCACACTGAACAGAAAATAAAATTCCTGGCATTTAATTAAATATTCGCCATATCAAAACGTGTTTCACATAAAAGTTGCCCATTGTCTTCTGCTATGAGGCCAGAGCCAAACTTGCTTAAGGTAACTGCAGCTTAGGACCTCACAACATGAGGGCCCTAAAAAAATCGTTTCTGTGTTGACTTAATGCTTTACGCGAAAAAATGGAATTGTTTTAAAGCTCATTGTAATTGTCAGAATTATTTTCACGTCTGATAAATTAAACGAACAAATATTAAAAAATGAAATCGTATTGTTAAGGATTGAAATGTAGCTATTTAATTGGACATGTTCATTTTTATTTCTTCTAAACCAGCCCATTACAATTAGGTCTTATATTTTAATCATGTGCTCATCTTTGACCTTTCCAGTGCTCATACTTTTAAATATTATGACTGTGTAAAGTCTTATGAAAATTTGTCTTTAGAGAATTTTCTATACTGTAATCCATTAAGTTTCTAACGCGATGAACTCATCGTATCTATTATGTACTTTCCAGGCTGAACTAACACAAAATTACATTCGAAAGCTGGGAGTTATGGACGCTATTAATTATTAGACATACAGACAGACGAGCTTATGTTTTCACTTCGAGCAAACAAAGCAAAACTAATGACAGCGATTAATATTGTACTGAAAGAGGTCACTACCTTTTGATGACTTTTTATTGCTAAAAATCTATGCAATGATTAGTTATTATATTCCACATAAATATATATTATTAACTAATACTTATATTATTTGTTTAAAGAACAATCTTCGAATTTGTTTTCAACGGTTTCTTTTAATTTCTGTTAACAATAACGAAATTGATAAAAAAGAATAGTAAATTTTCCATTCTTTTCGAATTAAAAATATGAAATTCAAACTTTTTTTAAAAAAACCGTTATTACATTTTAGTGGGCAGTTAACTGACTCTGGGGACGTGTAAATTGTTTATAATATATGAAAAGTTTTTGGATATTAAGCCTAAAACTGTAATATTTTCATGAACTGATCGGAATTACCCCCAAATATAGCGTTCGGTCCGCAGATTAAATATTACTCAGCTGTGGCGAACCTGAAGGACGTTGACACTGTTAGTCCATATTTATTTATTTAGTGATCTGTGTGACGACAGGTCCATATGAACAGGATCCTTCCATCCTTTTCTCGGACTGGGACCTGTTCATATACGTTCTTGGCAGATGATCCAGAAGTGGTTTGCCATTGCCTTCGTCTGTGTGTGAATGGAGTAATTGTTGGGATGCCACGGAGGAAAACTCCGGGTTGCCTAGACCACGGCCTTGCCCAACAAAAAATAATGTTATTAAGACGGCTATAATTAGCGTCTCAAATATACAACTCTTAAATAAGGTACCATTACCTATCGTCACTTCAGGTACAAGAATTTGCAACATGGAACATAGGAGTAGAAAATGTTTGTTACATTCAGTGGGGAAGGATCTCACCAGATACAGTAGGATGGTTCCCAGTGTGTTGAATAACGAGCCATGGAATAGCACAGGAACTTGTTTCTGGTAGTCGAAACACCTGGAAAGTGATCTGTCTGGTAGATACGTTGTGGAGGTTCCAAGTCTGAGAGTACAGGGCTGTATCACCACGGCAGAATCATCAGACGCAAGCAGATGAGGCAGTCTTGCATTCGCGAGTGGCTTGACTGACAACCAAGGAGATGTTCGTAGCTAGTCCATATGCTTCTCTATTTTATTTATCGTCTTGCTCGCAGGTCCTTATCACTATCTTCATTAGAAACGTTTCTCTTCCCACAAAATAGCATTTGTCACTTAGAACACGCGAGAATAATTATGGGAATTATAACCAACGCTAATATAAATAATTCCCAATTCAATTGAAAGCGAAGTAAAGTTGTACTTACTGACAATGTTATTGTCTTCTCCAGTAGAAGTGGGAGTGGAATGTGAAAATCAAACGTGAAAACCTGAAAATAATAAAATTCCGATTAAATGGTAGATTGTCATAATAAATAATACGTTTCAACATTTTTATTTTAGGAAACGTATGGCGGAGAACAGGAACATTAGCTATTTCACAATAAATTTGCCAGATCCAATATGAAGTACGGGGTTAAATGGCATTGCCATCGACTGTAATAAATGACTATATAAAATGTGTTACCTCATTGTAATATGGCCGGTCCGTGTTTTCCTTCGCAGCAGTTTGTCTCTTCTCTTTGCCTATTTTAACACGAACCAATGGATCCATCCTTGGCCATGCTAGATGTCTAGCTTCAAAAATCACTATACGAACTTGAAAAAATTGTGCTTTCGTTTCTTCGGAATTCATTTTGAAATATACTCACGCAAAACGAGCTTTCATTAACAACATCAATACTCGATGGTTTCCGTGGTTGCATCGATGTCAACAGTTTTTGTTATAGACCCATTGTTGATCTTGTGACCATCGTTATGCATTGTTTGAATGTTTGCCGTGATTTCCAATGTTTTCTTCGTTCTTACCGATGTAAGGCGGAATCAGCCGAAGTGTTGGCGTACAAAATTAACCCCGAAAAGCCCATTGTTAAGTTTTTGCTCCATCTACTTCAGCAATTCGTCACTCTGTGTTTGTCTCCTTCGTGTATTTGTGGGTTTTTTGTGTTTCTCAGAAATAACAGACATTATTTGCCATTAATCACATATCTGTAAAAAAAGGCCTATCGTATAAATATTGTACATGACAAATTATACAGATCTAATTTTCATTAAGCTGTAGACTACAAATGTGAACAGCATTTGCGACTGGGTGGTGTTAATTTTATATTATTTATTAGCTTCATAACAACAGATTTTCTCGAGCACACTTCTTCAGTCGTATTAAGTAACGTAAAAAGTGCTGAAATGTCAGTCTGTTACATTCATTTCGAAATAATAAGCAATTTAAATTGCGTGCTTCAAATATTTATCTATAGAATTACGTTTTCAAGGAGAGAAAGCATGATATAGATAAGAACTATCCTACAAGATAAAGATAACGTCGACATTCTTCTATCAGTTCCAGATATAGACGTAATTTGATACAGAATTTATGAAGACCAGATATTGATATCACGTCTTGGCATTCCTTGAATTCCAAGAATGACTACACCAAACTTTTCAGCTTGGGGTCAGCAAACGGATATTTAAGTTAGGTGAGTTGTTTTGGGTGGAGATTTGGAAGGACGTTTTGGAGGGGACTTTAATTTGGAAGGTCCGAGTTTATTAAAGAAACTGTCGATAGTTTTCGGATGATCTAGGCGGAAAGTTCGTATGAGGGAAATTTCGTTTTCCCCGCCGTCTTGCATGGGCACAAAACTTGATCTCTGACCTTCTGCGAACATGGCAAAGGAGCCTTTTGGTTCCGTAAAAGACCCTGGGGAGTCGGGGGAGATTTCTTGTCCACCAAAGCATCTGCCGGCTCCCCTATGGACTTTGTCATAAGCAGTGTTTTAGTTATAAACGGCGGTAAATACAGATTCTCATAAAGAAATTTTTCCAATGGCACTGAAGTGGTGGCAACATGAACGCAAATGATTCAGACATGGTCTCGTTCCGACGTTTAATGGCGTGTAGCAGTGCAGTGTAGGAAGCACTGGTCATGCCAGACTGTAGTATTGATTCGCTAAGGTTACCGGCAGACGCAGTTTCGGTGGTACTCTACGTTCGGATCAAAGGAGAAAAAACTTACAATAAAGTCTTGTCGCTAGGAACGTATTTGGGCTACAGAGAGAAATTAAGTACGGAATGGAGGTTCTTAAACAAGAATTATGTAACTGTCTTAACACACAGAAGGATGACGTTTTGTGAGGCAGATAGTCCCATTTTTAACGTCGGTACAAGGTCGAGGAGAATTGTCAGCTATAGGCACTGGCTGCCTTTACCCACCAAATGGATTGGAGAATAGTTGGCCCCAGAACCGTTTTGGTAAATACTTAATGCTCATATCAGGGATGAATCCTGACCATAGTATAGTTAAGGTAGTTAAATCAATGGAAGGAAGAAATAAGTTCCAAATTTTGGTGCGGAACCTTTTCAGAACGTAGCTATCTGAATACAGATAATACATGAGGAAGAGAACTGGTTCATCCTTTTATGTCCTAAATTCCTCATGTAATATCAATAATTGCCCAATTATTTCATCCCTCTTAAGTAAAAATATTAATGACATTCAGTAACCTAAAAATTATGGCTCGAGACTTGTTTCAGACTTCCTTCATTTATAACAATTTTTGATCTAATAGGGCACTTTCTTCTGAACGCCATCAATTTTGATTTACCAAGTGGTACAATGGAATGATATATTTTCTTTGTATTCTGATCCGTAAAATATTTCATTTGAGACACTGTTATCATCTGTGCATTGTAGTCATGTGAAGTAATGTAAAAATTCATCATTCAGCCCAGTTGCATATTTTGGTCTCATGCTAGTGTTTGAACCGTCTCCCCAAATACCTTTGTCCTTTTCACTGGTAATGGAGAATTCTGATTGAGATTCTTGCATCCTGTGAAAAAATCTGAGTCTTCAGAAAGCATAAAAATCCCGAAGTCCTATCTTCTTACTTTGTAGTTCCTGTTACAATGGGGCGAGACTGTGTCTCTGTAGGACTGCAACTGCCAACGACTTTTTGTTCAGCCCCCAGATGATACACGAGTGAATATGAAGAAGCTGTGAAATGATGACAGGAGAAAACTGAAAAACTCAGAGAAAAACTTGTCCCAGTGCCACTTTGTCCACCAAAAATTACACTGGATTGCACTGAGTACAAACCTGGGTCTGCGTGGTGATGAGCTAGCCTGCGACTAACTGCCTGAGCTATGGCACAAATTATTTTGTGAAGACAGAGCAGGCTCATATTTACAACTGCCAAATAAATTCCCCACTTAATGGTACCTGCACGTTGTCATGGTGGTGGGGCTTGAGTACCTCAGTGACCCCAAGAGCTACTGGTAGGGCCTCACTAGCCAGATTGGTCGAAGGGGAGAGGTCAGACTAAGACAGGTACTCTGGTCCTCCAAGTTGGGGGTTGGTCGCAAGGCAAACAACCTTGCACCGTAAAAAGGAAGATGTTTCGAAACCTCGATCAAAGCCTCGGACAGACAGACCTAACACAGGACCGAATGGAAGAGGAGAATTCAGGAGGCCACGGACCGGAGAGCCATAGAAGAAGAAGAAATAAAGAAATTATAAGACTGCTTGTGACCATTTATCAAATGACTGTGCCACAATTTATTTACTTAACTTTGTATGTAATGTAATTCATGGAAAAATAATGACTGCATAAGTATAAACAATATAACACATCTCTTTCGATCAAACATACCTTCATGTCTATTTGGTAATTATAACTTCACACAAACCTGGCTCAATGCCATCACCAGCTCATACTAATTATTACTTAGCAAGTACAAATGCAGTGCTTCACTGGTCTCAAGGAGATAGCACCATTATACACTACAGAAAAGCACCGACCCTGAACACAACAATGTCGTACACAAAATTGGGCTAGGACAGTATCCAGTATCCATTATGACATAACTTCCATACTTTTCAAGGACTTTTGAGTACAAAAAATGTGCAAAAGTGTTCCATAAGATAAGAGAGAGGCAAGAATAACAATTGAAATTTGTACACAGAAATTTTAATTTTTGGTTTTGTACTTCCACAGTAAAAGATTTTTCCTGTAAAAAAATAATTTGATAACTCTTGCAAACTGTAAACTTGGCCGTTAAACCAATAGTGCCATGTTCTTTCTCCAACACATCAATATTATCTGAATATGTAAGTTTAATTTAAATGCCATTTTTATGTCAGCCAGGTTTCTTCTACTATTTGTTTAATGTTTTTAAATTTTTCAATTTGCCTTTCTCCCACAATTCCGCAGAAATCATCATATGGAAGTGGTTGTATCCTCAATGATGTGATATTGACATTGACTTTTGGACCATTCTTCGCAATACACTTTGAGAAATCCACCGCATTGGCATTCCATGGATAGAGACCTGTTGCCCTGAAACCATTCTTATCTGAGCGCTCCAAGTCAATATTTTTAAACATGTCTTCAAGAACAGGAGCAAAATCCTCTTTTGTAACAGCCTTGTTTGGATTTTGTGTTCGCCAAGAGAGAACTGCATCTTTCCATTTGCTCTTTACAGGCCTGAAGGCTGCCACATCGGCTGGCTGCAGAATTCTTGTAGAATTTGGATAGAGAGCGATGAGAAACATCTGCAGTTCCTTGCACAGCGCACTGAGATGGTAGGTTAGGTGGGTTTTGTGGCCATCTACGAACAATACAACTGGCAATATAAACTCGTGGCTGAAACAACTGACTCACACCAAGTAAAAGCTGCTCATTCCAAATGTGTGTGAAACAGAGTCGCCAACTGCTTACATGCTTAATATCGCAGTCTCGATAACAGAGTGCCAATAACTGGAGGGGTGTCAATAATAGGGCGTTTTACCCTATGCTACTGGTAAGTACATAATGTAAAAGGGTTGATGCTTTCTCCTCCATTGAACATCTATGGCTGGGATGGAAAGTGTCTTACACATGTTGAAAATTCTTACAACACCAAACAACAATATAGGCAGTGTGAGGGCATTTATGATATTATTAGTAATTATGTAATGACAAACAATTTATTTAATTTTTTCCAACTACAGGGATTTCACCTAACAGTCTAACAAAGTAAGTTCCCTTCAAACCACTCAAATAAAATTTTTTTTTGCAATTGCCATTTTCAGGTTTAACTTTATATTAGGAAAATTAAGATAATGAACTTCAACTTAACAAAAATTAAAAATCCAGTAACACTAAAGCAACCAATGTAGTTGATATTATCTTTTGTGTTAGAGTTTTGAACACTCTGTATGCCTTCAATTGAAAATGTTCTGGTTTATTCACTATGCATAGCCATCAAAGAACATGTGGCAATGTGTAGTGCTTTGCATTTTTACATCAACATTTTACAGCAAGACAATGTAAATAAACTATGCGCACATTCTTAACACAGTGTAGTCATGAAACATACAGTAATAAGAAAATTGTTGCATTTTGTTTCAAAGCACTGGGCAGAGCACCACTTGTGTGTCACCAGATCACTTCTGGTGGCACAAAACCTGACTGCACAGCTGAAGATCCTTTACTCAGTCCCAGGTATAACCAAACTTGCAACCACCAGCTTGTACTTTACATGTGGAGCTTCTCTTACACAATCTCAAACTGTAGTCCTATCTGAATCTTGTGCTAACCTATCCATCAGCTGAAAAGCAAGCATAACAATTTTATTACTAGTATTGTAATAATGTCCTTAGAGACTGAAATATAAATTCTTAAATGTTTTAAAATTAATATGCAGGTGAAGTTTTAGATGATTATTACCCACAAAATAAAATTCCTATCTTCAAGGAAGATAATGTGAGTTAATTACTTTGGTTACCACAAAGGATGGGAATTTAACTCTCTAAATTTTGAGTTGAACAAGGTTCTCTTGTAACAGCAACATGTATATATATTTCATAACAGCATGAGTATCTGTTTATAGTCTTGAAAAAGCATCATTCAGCTGCAAGCCATGACAGGTCCTACAGAATTAAGGGGGAAGTGAAAGTACGGTAGCTTATTAGCACTATTCTAACATACCCCTCGGATTCCTGGTAAGTTTAATATTGTTCCTAGAACTGGAACTCGTCTCAAGAAGTTGATTGCAACAGGAAAGAAGCCACTAAAAGAAAATGTCATTATACATTTAAAACCATTGTATTTGGTAAATTAAATGTTTAAGGAGGAGCCAGTGTAGCTCTATCAGTATAGTGACTGGCTTCGGGCTAGATGACTGGTGTTCGATCCCTGACAGGGGCTGAGGATTTTTCTTCTAGCCTCTGCATCCAGACAGGCTCTGGGGCCCACCCATCCTCCTATCCAATGGGTCACGGGGTCCTACACCTCCACTCTCCCCAAATGACCTACATGACGTGTAGTGGGACGGCTTTACTTTTAATGTTAGAGGAACATGACAGATAACATCAATGCAGTCAATGTCTCTCTTTGGTAAGTGCTGAACTGAAAAATTCAGAGTTGTGGCCTAGAAGAAGTTCATAAAACCATCATTTCTATAAAACTATGTTTACTTATTTCATCTAATAAAAGAATAATTATTAAAACCTTTCAAAAGCATACAACAGTTCTTCTTTTTGATAGGTTTCACCTATAGTGACCTTGTCCACTTCCATGTAGAGGTTCATTAAGAGTGATTTATTTTAATTATGACTGACTAACTTTGTTTTTAAAGAAATTAGAAGCAATAGGTTTATACTCTTGACTTCAGAAAAACATATATTGTCATAATCGATTATTTTTAAACTTACGTTAAACTAAAGTAATGCTGACTTAAACATATCAATACAACAACCCAGCATAAAACTACCAACACAAATTCTAAGTATTGAATATATCTGAAACAAACTTTTGTATCTAATTCTTATCAGGAATATTCTTTTATTTTAGTATTTGACATGAAGTAATGGCTGCACATCATTACATCGCAGGACTGCTAAGTACAGGTATGTTTTACTGATAACAAATAAATCCCCAAAACCACCACCAAAAAAGGATTATAAGACGGTAACACAAAGAATGCCATTGGTTCCTAACAAATTTTATGAAACAAAATTAAAATACATGAATAAATTATTAGCCTTTTCTATTTAGAATATTTTGTTAAGAAAATTAATTTAATTGTATAGTTTCACAGAAATATAACATATCCATTGTCTGAAAACAGTAAATGGATAGAGTGAACAGTTGAGAGATGCTATGAATGGGTTCTGTTTTGCGTAGTTACACACCAAAGCCAGTATAAGTAGAAGAGTTCAGTTTGAAGATAACATCTGATTCATAGCATGAAAAGAATTAGAAGAACAAAAATAATTTGGAGTGAAAAATATTAAGAAATACAGAATTTATTGCATCTCAAGATATCACAGCTGAAAGTCAGCACTACATACCTGAAGAGCAAAACAAAACCATATGTCTCAATGAGCATTCCAACCAGAGGCCATCCCACCAGTACCACAATGATCCCACCAAAAAATGCCACTGATGCCTTTGCTTTGTGTTTCTGGAAAAAAAATCTGAAAGTTCGCTCCAGTCCAATTACACATGCCAAGCCTGCAATGAATAAAATCTGAAAAAAGAAAGAAAGAAAGAAATCAACATCAATGTGTAACAAACAATATACAAAATTTCTTGGACATAGACAAATTATTTCCATTCTCAGCCTAGTTTCCCACCAAGTGTTTCCATGTCTTGCAGCATTTAAACACTTAATCAAAACTGGTATGGGATGCACTGAAAAAACACTGAATGAAAATAAAAAAAAATAAAAACAAACAGAAAGCGGCAAATATAAAAAGAACACGGAACATAGCTGTTTCTAAGAAAACAACATTCTTTGGATATTTATAAATAAAAGTGCACCAGAGATAAATTAAGAACACCTAGAATATGAAAAGAGATCCATGAGAGAGTATCATGTAGAAGTAAAACCATACCTATGAGCTTATTTACTCCATCATGATCTTTGTAGCTTTTACAACTGTACTCTTTGCTGTAAGACTTTTTACAGACAGTGATGATGTGATAATGAATCATGAGTTGGTGCAGATCTGGAAGATAGTGGTCATGCCTTTAGCAGAAATACCTGAAGATGGGTAATTTATTTGACTCTGAACTGTGATATTTTTGGTTGTGGTGCGGTTGTTTCAACCCTGACAATGGAAGCATATGTCCCTCTGAAATGCTGGTATGTGACCAGAAGACTACTTGGCACAATAACCCAGAAGACCACAATCTAATCTCACAGTGCTGTGACAATCTCAAACTGTGTAATTTATTTGACTAATCAAAGAAGCCAACATATGTGCAGTTATGATCATGCTCCATTTTAATATACACAGAAATATGAAATTATTCTGGACAGGGTTGCCAATTTCTGGCCTTGTGATTTGGCAAGCACTACCATCAGGAACTTTTGAAATAGAAAATTTAAACTCCTGTACTGTGGGTCTGCTGTCCAGGCTTTAATTCTGAGGTTAAAAGTTTAGCAGTATGTTGCTGCAAAGCATGGCTAACTAGACTGTGAAAACTTGATACATGGCTCATAAAAGTCAAGCATGACAATAGGCACAGATGAATGGTTTGATCCATGACCTGGCCACTTTACCCCTCATATCCACTGGACAGCAAGTCTGGTGGGTTACAGAGCACATCTCAATCCTTGTTTCTGCCAAGAATTGAACCCCGGTCATCCAGCCTTCAGCTGAGTTATTTGGGTTATTTCTATTATATCTAAAAGAAGTTTAAAACTTAAATTGCAACTTACATTCCCTATCGCTAGCAACCCTTTATCAAATAGGAGTAATACACCAAGAAAAAGAAACGATACACCAAATCCTGCAAGGCCCACGCCAATCTCTGCAACAGAACGTTTAAAATTATTTTCTTTAATTAAAACTCATCATGGTTGAAGTCAGATATATTTTTTACTCCTATGTAAACATTGTTGCCAATGGACATGTATAAGCTATTGGTATTTCATACCATAGTTCCATAGACATAGACAGTTTCATAATTATATTGGTAGGCATGATGTTTTCTGTAGTAGCTTGATTGACTAATTAACTGAGTTTAATGTCTGACTTGGCTGATGCAAGCAGATCAGATTTTCATTCATGAAATTACTTTTATTCCATTTGTTATAAAACTTACAGCATAGAAAGTGACACATTTCATACCAACGCAGTTTTTGGTTGAAGTATTTATACTGTTTTATGAGAAATGCAAGTAAATTTGAAATTAAATTAAGCGACTGTAATAACGTCTTATAACCTACAACGTTGAAAATTAAAGAATCACAAACTAGCTAACAATGTTGCATTAAATAATTATCAACATGACGATTTAAAAATTACTCACTTTGCACATCGGTTATTTCAAACATTCTGACCGAAAATATATCAGCTGTTCTTAACAAATAGATAACCTAAAATTCCACGTCATAAAGAACACAGCATTGTTTTCCACGCACAGCTGTTCAAATGATCCTATAACGTCTTTAAGAGAAAGATTATGTGTATATAACATTAAATAATATATATTCAGTTCTACAGTATTTCGCAGAAACGACAATCAGAATATACAATGAGTCAGTAAGTTTGATACACTTTCCCAAACTCCATCATTTCAAATTTCTGAACAAGAACATAACATCAAAGATAAAAATCTACAATTTCCTTCTGGTATTACTGGTAGTAGAATAATAATAATAATAATTATAATAATAATAACTGAAGTAGTGGGCAATTTTCACGTTAACCGTCTTCAGCATATGCATCAATTAGGTATTATTTACAAATGTTGATGTGGTATCCACTACACTTTTTATAGAGATACTATTGTATTCGTGTACGAAAGTCGCTTGACATATAATTACAAACATTTACGCAAATATTGGGAATCTTAGAAGTACATTTAGGGCTAGGAAGTGGGAATTAAGAGGGACGAGTTGGCTATTCTGTTGTCACAGGTGAAGAAAGTTAATGACTAAAGTTCGTGCATGGATAAAAAATTGCAAGACGACTGTTCTTGTTCAGGAATCATAAGTCACATAAATCAGAGTGAAAACAAAGAGGGCAAAGATAACATTTGAAAATTGTTTTCACTATCTATAGGTAATTGCAGATTTATATGATTATGATGAGACAAAAATTCTGTAATATTTGATGTAGAAGTGAACGAAACTATTTTCCGAGTAAGCTTTATTTTGTGAGGAATTTGTTTGTTGTAGAAAAGTTTTCTGTGGTAAAAGTATGACTCGACACGCTAGAAATTGTACAGCAGGTGCTGTTTATACATATCATGAAAAGAAGAAAGATGCCCAAGCATCGGGATATGGCACAAATGCCCAAAGAGTTGGAAAGGATTCAATTAAGGATTTTGATTGTTGTTCTCTCACTTTACAACCTTGTACAAATCCAGTTGTCACGTAAGTATTAGTGATAATGACAGCATTGGCATTGATAATAATATAGAGTCAGTTCATCTGATTGATTCGTTTCTGTTGCCCAGTTGACCAAAAATAACCAGGTCACTGTGCAGACATTTTAAAGAGTCTGCTATTCTTTGTACACACAGAGAGTTAGTTTTATTACATAAGAATGGTTTAGGGATAAGAATTTATTGTGGCAGCATAGTTAATGGTATATAATAAATGAAGTTTTATTGAATTAAGATTTTAAAAATCCCCCCAAAATGAAATTCTAGATATGCTTGTAGACTTGTACCTCTTTTTTAAAATTAAATCTTGTATTTCACCACAACTGAAAGATTGGCCACCACATCATAAGCAATGTTTCAAAAGCTTGTTTTGTTAAGGTTTTCAGGCTATTTCACATCATCATAAGCAATGTTTCAAAACCTTGTTTTGTTAAGGTTTTCAGGCTATTCATGGAAAGGCCTTCTTATGAGACTGATTCCAGATTGTTTTCTCCTAAAGTGTTGGTAATGACAAAATATTATTATTAATACAGCATCTTTGCTTATAGTAGATCAGCCATCAACTGAGAAAGAACTCATACAGATTGCTGAAAGATGTTTTGTTTGCCAATGAAATATCAGTTACATCTTGTGGATAGTTCTTTTGAGTCATTGTATTCCTTGTTATAGGCCAGATGGTTACCTGTTTGATAAAGAAGCAATATTGGAATACATTATAACAAAAAAGAATGAATACTTCCGAAAATTGAAGGAGTATGAAAAGCAGAAACGAAAGGAAAAGGTAATTTTCTTTTACAAATGCTACACTTTCATATGCTGTGTGTTTGGAAGGTAGCTGCCAATATATCAAATAAGCAGTTAGGGGACAGCTGACAAGAGGTGGTTTTACATCTTGTTTGTTGGTAGTGAGGCCAACAGTTCCTCACCATACAATTGTATTATGTTAGAGGAATATGGAGAAGGCTGCAGTTTCTCATCATAAAATTGCATTATGTTAGAGGAATATGGAGAAGGCTTTTCTTGAATAGCTAAGCAAATATTGGTTTCTTATGTTGCCATGGAGCTAGCTGATTTTATGTTTCATATATTGAAAAGGAGTTGTGGGAAGACAGAGATAAATGGAGAGGCTTGGTTATCTTGTGACCTGTATAAAGTGGAAATGATACAGGAAGAAGATGAAGATAGGAAGTTCAGGGTGTTTGAAAATAAAGTATAGAGGATTATGGTTGTAAAACAGAGGAAATTACAGGATGATGAAAATTACTTAATGAGTTTCATGTTTCATACAGTTTGCCCTTCAACTTTTAGTCAGAAATGTTATGTCCAGGTATGTATGGGAAGATAATATTATAATGGTTCTTAGAGAAAAGTAGTATGAGGCTGTATAGTAGATTCAAATGGCTCCGGATAGCATCCAGTTGCTTGCGTTTTTGAACAGTATGCAAGTTTACTAAGAAGAAGGTGGGAGGAGCAGATAAAACTAGGAGTGATGGAGAGAGGTGCCTAGTGGCAGTTGGTGGAAGAAGAGAAGTGGTGGAAGGACAGGAAGAGACGGAGGTCCTTTACCAAGCGGACCCGGCCCCAGGCTGGGAACAGCAATGGATGATGATGATGAAAAGTGGAGAATTTTTTGATGACCTGAGCAGCTATATACATTTCAAGAGAAAGGCCCTGTTAATATATTTTTTTTAATTTCCATTGAAGTTAGGATCAGTTGATTAGTCAGTGCGTTAAATTATTATACTCATATTAGGTTAAATTAATTTAGACATGTTCCTTTTGTGGCTATTTGTATCAAAGAACAAAAATACTAGTACAGAAAAAATTTGAAAGTATTAATGTTCTTGAATTATGTGTGAGACTTTATTTTGTACATTTTAGTTATTGTCAGCATCTTAAAAAAAGAAATAATTTATTTTCCAGACAGAATTGGCAGAACTGGCAGCAGCAGAAGAACGATCAAAATTGAACAACTTTTTGAAGACAGAAAAGAATATTGTCAGTGCTCCAGTCAAAGCTTTTAAATCAGGTGTTCTGAATTTACAATTTTTGTGATGTCCATTTCAAGTCTGTAAATGAAATATGGTATGAAAGAAAATATTTTTGTTAAGAGGATTAAAGTAAGTGGGAAATGTATGATATTACATAACAAGGAACTCTGTGGTTTGTATATGCCACCCACTTTTGACAATGAAATGTATGATGGTATGATACGTTGGACATGTAGTGAAGAGGGGAGAATGAGGAATTCATGTAAAGTTTTTGTGGAAGAACTACTTGGAAAATAGTCTCTTTGGAAGACTGAAAAGGAAGTTGTAGGATTGTATTAAGATCTTAAAGAGATAGTGGTGATGAAACTGGATGTGGCCTGTGTCTGGTGGCAGGCTTTAGTCTTTGTGTAATTTAATCTTTAGAATTTATTACAAGAGATTTAGTGATGTCCATGTTACAAGTTTTAGTATGCCCTTTTGTGTCTGATTGCTGTCCTTCCAAATCCAAATGAGGACTTACTGTTCATGAATTTTGGAAAAATTTTGAGTTGATTTCTTTTTTAATTAAGTTTTTCTTTGAGGTTTAGATAATACTTCATGTTATAGTCTGATGACCTGCTCCATCTGTGGATTGTTTATGCTTGACTGATGATTCGTCAGCTGATTGAGTCTTTGAATTGTGCTGTATCATCGCCACCACATCATGTGTATCCAGTGCACAGGATTGTACATGTGGAGTCTCCTTGATCATTTCAGAGTTGAGGATACAAGCTATGATTGATGAATGATGGAGAGATTCTCTTACTTGCTGTCTTTAAGGGTGTTCTATTCAAAGTATGTTTTTTTGTTTGGACGGCTTTAGAACTAGATAGGGAAGGCCTACACCATTTTTGTGATTTGTTATATCTTAAAGATGTGGATACAAGGAGAAGAGGATGTTTCCTGTTTAAGTTTGGATATAAGAGCCACAACTTTAAAATAATAAAATATTGGTATAGAAAGCCATTTAAGCATGATGACTAGGATAGTCTGCTCCAGTTTTTAGTTTAAAATGGAGGTGGCATAATTTATAATAAGCTTGTGTTGTGGGAGGGGGGATATAAAATGATGACATGCAGTAAAGTATTTGTTTAGATTTTGGTTTCTTGGTGATGAGTGTTAAACTGTTATTGGAGCTAGGTGTGTGAAATATTGTATGTAGATAAATATATACATATCTACACATTCTCCATGAAACTTTTGTTTATATATTAAGTTATGAATATAGGAAACATGCAGAGTAATAAAGTTATATTAGACAAACTAGGTTACAGTGTAGATTACTGAGGCTCAGTTCCTGGCAGAGTAGGATTTTTCTCTTCATCACATGTCCACCTGGCCTTCTATTGAATAGATACTGGGATTCTTTTCTTGTGGGTAAAGTGTCTTAGGTGTGAAGCTGATCACTCACCTCCTTGTGCTTAGGTTAATGAATGGAGCTGTACCTCCACTCTTCCATATGGTTGTATGACATGGTGCTTACTTAAGGACAGAAAACCTTACTTTTTTACTTTATTGTGGTAAGAACCTGAATTAGTGGAAATTATACTCATAAATGGGTCAACATATTATAATCACTAATATTTAGGTCTTACTAGCCTTACTTATAGACAGAAGCATTTGAAGGAAAGTAGGCATCATCAGTTGTTTCCAGAACATTTATTTTACATATAATCATATTAGAGTTAATTTTCTCTTTAAAAGATACATTTAAGTTCGATGAATAATTGTCATAAACACTGTGATAATTCTTCCTTCACTTATTACTTGATCTAGTTTGTTGGGACACAGTTTGAATCTGTGGACAAAATGTCTTGTGTTACCATCCTTTGCAAATTCTTTGATAATTGTTTTTCCCTTTCTCAGCTACGTATAATATTTTACTCTATCAGTGTTTTACATTTGAATAACATGTGGTCTTAATTCATCTTCAGAAAAATGTTCCCAGTGTGTAATTAGTTTAACAATTTCATAGTTATTTCATCAAATACAATTTGAGCATAGTTTTATGGGGAGATGCATATTTACAATGAATGTATTCTGTGGTGAACTTGGATTAGGAAGGACTGGTGAACAAATCTAAGTCAGGTATACATGTTGTGAATCAGATTTGCCAACCATGAAAGAGTTGACTGTTTACAATTAATTACTCTTGGGTGTTTGAATTTTGTTGATTATAGCCAGACAGATTTGTATTACTTTTGTTGACTCCATATTTGTGTAAAATATTTTATGCATAATTAACTTCATCCTGTTTAAAACAGACTCGTTAAATATTGAGAAGCCATCTGTGTCCAACATGACAGAGGGACGAGACAAACATCTGCCCAGCTTCTGGATAGCATCAAAAACTCCCGAGGCCAAAGATAAGACTCTGAAAAAACCTGTAAGTTGACATTTTTATTCTGTTTGTAACATGGCTGTGACTGACTTAACTTCTCAGGGAGTGAGTTGACATTTTGATTCTGTTTGTAACATGACTGTGACTGACTTAACTTCTCAGGGAGTACATTTGATCAGTTTTTGCTGATAGATACATACAAGAGAGGTTTAGAATCATGAGTTTAGTTTGGTGATACTATTTAGCATAGAAACAATTGTAATCTTATGACCTCTGTTGTAAATAAACTACAGAGCAAATTTTTGTTATACCAAACTGGAGGTTAATGGCCAGTCAAATGTTAATGGTCCAACAATAAAACCTCCATCAGTAAATTTCATGGCATTTAATGGTCAATGTTTCCCACAGCTGTGTTGCAGCTCCCTCTCTTTCTGTTAGCAATATTTTGGATTACTGTCCTACTTTACTTCCACTGTTCTTAGCTTCCCTCCCTTCTTGCACAGACCAGGACTGTAGGACTCTACAAACTGCAGATGTTAAATAGTGTCAGAACAGAAATAGAAGATTGAAAACTGGAAAGCCATACAGCTCAATTACCCATAGCATGTAATCTTTCCAACAAGCAGGGAGGGTTACCAGAAATTGTCACTTCATGCTAGATAAATCACAATCATTTTGGGTATTGTCTTTTAGTTACAAGGCACAGCCAAAGTTTGGAGAGCCTTTTCCAGGACAAAGTCTATCTAATGGTCTTGAAAACATATAAATTCCCTTTACGTGTTCTTTGCACAAAGTTTGTTATTGATTGTGTAATAGTGAACTTATGCTTGTCTTGTAAAGGGCTTGACAGGGGGAAAAAAAACCCATTAATTCTTTTTTTGTCTCATTGTTACACATCTTAACTTATTTTATCTCTGAACTTACTTGATGAATTTCGTATTTGATGTTTGATGATCTACACTAAAATCATATGGTAGATCAAATTGAGCTTTGTTTTCTCAGAAGCTCCTCTACATACAAAATATTAGTACACAGTATAAAATATAGATCCTAATACACAAATATCGTGGCCAATTAGATATAAGAATGACAGTGAGTGCATCTGGAAAACATCCACAGCTCTTTAAGTACGTCATTCCACTCCTTATCATAATCTTGGTGTTTTACCTTTTCTCTTCTGTATAGGATAAGACAGTGTACTGCCCTGTGAGTGAAAAGCCACTGAGAGCCAAGGATTTGATTGATATAAAGCTGATACCAGTGAAAGATCCTGATGACAAAAAGGCATTGATTGTGAAACAGAATCGCTACATGTGTGCTGTGACGCATGATATCCTTAGCAATTCAGTCCCCTGTGCAGTTATTAGAACTACGTAAGTACCAGTACTTCTCGAACCTGAGTCAGGAGTGCTAATCATATATATATATATGTATACACATACACATTTGTTATTTCATTTATATAAATTAATTATGCGAGCATTCCACATTTTGTATTTTTAAGCCATATAAATCTGTGAAAAATACATCTTGTATTTTATCTACATTTAGTATTCTAGGATAAGTAAATATAATACAGTCATTAGAGTTACTGACAATAGGCTGGACAGCCAGGGTTTGATTCTCAACAGGAGCAATGATTTTTTGTTCTTCACAATGGTCAGACCAACTCATTCTCTTTGGGAGTAAAATGGCTGGAACATGAAGTTTGCAAATTAGTAGTTTCACTTGCAGCCCACCTTAACAGTTTTCTTTGGATTTTTACATTTGATATTGTTCAACAGGTTCAGATTAATTTGACAACTGTGACTTTCTTTCGCAACCATGTTTTAGAAGACATGTAACTACATTACAGGGAAGTGTATGAAGAAAAACAGAACTTTCACTTTTGAATTGTGGTACTATTGGAAGTAAAAGTCCATGAGACACCACAATATATTTTTAATGCTAGATGCACCATACAAATTGTTATGGTAGTAGTCTATTGCATGTTATGGATCAGATACATGTAAGGAATGCAAACCGTTCACTCTACTGTTCCAGGGGAGATGTTATCACAATGGATTGCGTGGAGAAGATCATCAAGAAGGACTGGACCCATCCACTTACAGGAGAAAAATTAAAAGAACGAGATATAATTCCTCTGCAAAGGGTAATAACAGTAGCATTGTTTGATGATGAATAAATTCTATATGATGAGTGCAGTATTGCCCATTTATTTTGGGAAGGTGAAAGTTCCATTTTATAGTCTGTACCTCATTCTTAGACTTTCAGTATATACCGATGTAAGTGTAGTACAGTTTAGAGGACATTAATGTCTCGTGTTGACAACAGAAGTAAATTATGGAGAAGTTGTGTTGCATCAGCCAGAGTTTTGCTAATCTGCACAAATATGTTCTTCATTATCACTCTTGCTGTATGTGTAGCAGACGAGTAGGATTTAAAAATATGAGTAGAACAGTGTGTGCACTCATATGTCAAGACTCAAACATTTTATATTTTACTGATGGCAGCTTTTAAATTTATGCAGACTGATGCCAAGTGTTGGTAGCAGCATGTGTACAATCTTTGTGACTTGCAATGTTGCAAACCTTTGTTCTGTAATCTTGTGACTTCATGATAGGTCATGGGATTATAGTTGCAAGTTTTGTGTATGAGAGTGGTTTTTTTAGCTTTCATAACATCTATTTTCCTTGATTATTCTGAAGTATGTATGGTTGAAATCTGTTTCAGGGAGGAACAGGGTATTCTACAACCAACTTGAACTTGGAAGCAAAACACGAACGCCCAGTTCTGCAAGCTTAAAACTATAATGTAGATAATGGAAAATATGATGTATATAATTGAACAGTTTGTACATCAGATGATGACTGTTTTCTGTTATTTTGTGCCATGTAGTCTGGTAGAAATATGCGAACATTTCAGAAGTGTTTGCTGCGTGCAGTGTCTCATTGATAATTGGGGCGGCAAGCACCTCTGAACTGTTGGTCCCAGAAGACAGCCATCTTCATACTTGATGCTGTGAGAACCTGAAATCTCACATTGCATATATGTGGGTTCAAGTGTCTTGAGTTACTTCAATTTATTACAGAATAATTAATGTATTTTGCACTTAGCCAGTAATATATAGGTGTAACAGAAGTTTATTTTCTCAGGAAATTTTGGAGTTCACTTTGTAAATTAACTACATTAATATTTTTTTTTGCTTTTAATGGAACATTTCAATTTTTTTTTTGTTATTAACTTTACTACCAAATAAATGAAGTGTGTTACTGTATACTAATGTTACACAGCATGCAACAGAATATTGTTTCTGCAGTGTGGAGTTAATTCAGTAAAATATTTGATATTATTTTGCTGTTAACTCTAGTTATTTTCATCGGCATGTATGAATCTGGTAAAAAAAAAAAAAAACATTCAAAATGTCTTTTGATGACAGTCTTTAGCCAGTTCACATTCACACAATTATTTCTCTAAGACTCATTTTAATATACTTGATTCTCCAAATGATCACTTTCCAAGCTGTTTCCACACCAACATTTCATAATAATTTTTTTCCTACATTCCTGTCTCAAATTTATTGTTGAAGGACTTGAATGAGGGACTTCTGAGTCTGATATTAAACAAATTCATTCATAGCCTCAGTTGATATTCAGAGCCTTTCCAGTTATTGTTCTTTAATTTTCTCACCTAATAATGTGATCTATTAGAACTGTAAACCAACCCGAAACTTCAACTTTTCTTAATGTGAGTTTTCATCTTCACATTATTCTGATGTTTATTTCAAAGTTTGCTGTAAGAAATAAGTTTCATAAATTATTTACTCTGTTTTCACTAATGTTATACACATCTACTTTATCAGTCTGAATGCTAAACAATATTTTTTCGGTTATAGTTAAAGAAATTTCTAAATTTGATTACTACCAAATACAACATTAATTTATCATTTGGCGCAAATTCAGCCTTTATACATGGACTGCAGTGTTTCCAACGTGCAAAGAGATGGTCGAGTTCTGTCTGGGTTTAAACCATCAATATTGGCTATCCTGAAGGAGCTCAAGTGCTGCCATCGGCTCTTGAAGTTTCGTAACTATTTGTGACATAACTTGATGGCAGTGTAGCCGCCAATAGTGAACGGGGTAAGGGGAGAAGTTACAATGTTTTTAGTTACTGTAAACGTGGGGTTTTACAGATATATTGGAATTATATGCGCGTGTAACGTAATGTTATATATTTATGCGTAATGAAAGGTGTTCATAATGACGTGTCAGTGAGGGAGAGCTACGTGCATAAGCAGTTTGTGTTGGTCGTTGTTTGGTAAGTAGTACTTCTGTAGTAAAGGAACAGTCTGTATTGGTGATCGTTGCTGCACGGAGGGCCTTCTTAAATGTATTTATTAAGACAGTCTGAACACTTATTCATATTGTGTATATTATGTAATACGTCACAGGTCCGCAATTGTCGTTTACTGCATGGAATCAAGTCCATGTCCGTATTGTGTAATACTAAATAGCGCGCCCAAAATGCCATAGAGAGGAAAACAGTATTATCTAATTTTGTTAATCCAATTATAAAATCGACATGTATTCATTACTAAATTTCGACGGATCACAAGTACTATTCCTTTGACTTTTATTTGTACTGTTTCGTTTTCTTACATTGTAAAAGCTTGTGAATAGCAAATCAAGTTAGCTGACCGTGCTTACGTTTTACGTGTTATCTGAAATCGAAGTATTCGTTATAAAATTTGTTAATTTTTGTATGAAATTATGTATTACAAGAGTGGTTCTCACCCGAAGTTTATTGAAGGACCGATAAAAGAGCAATTGGAGTTCGGGAGATTCGGTGCGAGGTTTTTTTTGTGATTTTACGTAGCAGCTCCAGGTAGATTCTGGGGTAGCACATTAAATAAGCCGCTTCGTTCCACTCACGTCAACATTTCAGCTTAACATGATCATCCGTTAGACTCTGTAATTGTCTCTTAATAAACCAATATTCAAAATATGCCAAACCGTGATATCCAGCTCTCCCCATGCACAGCCAGTCACCAACATACTGTTATCTGTTGCGTACTACGTACGGCGTTAGCCGTTTTATGAGATATCCTGCCTACAGCATGACTTCTAAGCACTTGTCAACATGCTGTGTTTGTTTTAATTACGTCTTTGTATTTTGAATGGTGTTTATTGCAATAAACACCAGTACATATGTTTTCTTTTTGCATTTGATTTGAGTATCATTCTCACTAACTGCATAGTACAGTCTTTATTAAAAACTGTAGAATGTGCCTGGTTAAGAAATTTCGCGCTCTTTTATGGAATCCGAAAGTTCATCACATGTTCACCAAACCCGTCATTGGATCCTATCCTGACGCAGTTGATTCAAGTCCACTGCTACACAACCTTTTATGGTAAGATCTGTTTTAATATTATCCTATTCTGTGCTTAGGTCTCTAATACAGTCTCTTCCCTTGAGGTTTTTCGGACAAAATTCTGGATGCTTTTCTCATCTTCCCCTATGTCCGGCCCAACACCTTTGGCGTTATTTATTTATTTTATTTATTATTTATTTATTTATTTAGTGTTCTGTCTGACTACAGGTCCATATGAACAGGATCCTTCCATCCTTTTCTCGGACTGGGACCTGTTCATATATGTTCTGAGGACGTAGAATCCCGGAACAGCTACCGTTAACTTCAGCGTGTGAATGCAAAGGGTTTATGGAGGTGTCAGGAATTAGCAGATAATTTGCAGCATCCGCTCCAATCGGCGCAAGGTTTATTTTGAATGTCCCGCTAGTATGAATCTCACGGGCTGCCTGACTGAAGGTGCACGAGAGTGTCATCGAAGAGCGGAGACGCCCAGAAATAATCTCCATATAAAATGTGTAATGTCTCAGATAATAAATTTCCCGTTAGTTAACGGGAAATTTACTATCTTTTAATGAATTTTCACTTAAAGAACTAATTTCAAGAAACGGGCTGTATTCGTAAAATAGATGTTAGTACGCCTATATATTACAGTAAAGGGTACGGAAATTTATAATCACGGGTCATGCGTCTAGAAAGGGTGAAGCTGTGTCCCAGAGGATGTAGTTAATATTACAGGATTATCTTGTGAGCGTGGGACCAGAAAACTGTTTTCAGCAAGCCTCTGATATATTCCTATTCATTATTTCATGGAACTTACCTTGTGAATGGAGATCAGACTATTAAATATTTGCTATTTGAACCTAAGAGGGGGTAAATAAACATGTAATTGAGGGCGTTATAACGAGGAAGAATTTTTCACAATTTCGATTTTTGAGATGTAACAAGGTACGAGGAATTCTCCGCGACGCTGATTTTACATTTGGCTCAATCATTACCGTTCAGTCTCCACACGTCCAATTATTATTATTATTATTATTGTTGTTGTTGTTGTTGTCATAATCTGTGGTTTATCATGTTTTTAAATCCCATTTGTCCGCATGTTTCAGTTGTAGAAACGCTGGACGGATTTTGGTAAAATTATATGGGACGTTATGTCATTGGAGGCCACCCCACTGCCACACGTTTTAATTTTCCATGATTGATAATAAGAAGGTACGAACTTGTAAATTGGGAGTGGCATATCGTTACCTAATACAGAGTCTTGATTTGATGTGTGGCAACAGTTACTTCAAAACATGTAATTTTTTTTAAAAGTTAACACCTCATTAAAATGTAAAACAACATTTCTGTCGCGCTAAATTCTTATATTTCAGTTTGACATTGATAACAAATGAACCACTGCAGCCGGGAACATGAAATTTGGCACGTGGAAAGATCGTTGAACATACCTACAAATCATGCATGAGATAACTGGTTGTAAGTCATGGCGACGTTGCGAAAGTTTGACGATATATCCCTCAGACTTAATGTAGACAGAATTTGTGCCAGTATATAATAAATCCTTCCAAAGACGGTTGTGATGTCTTCATTGTGAGTTTATTTTACCCACTTCGTGGGAAGAGAGCGTTACATTGACATATCAACGATTACAATTGCTACTGTGGTCATAAACGCGAGACAGCCTTTGTGTAGGAATGTTTATTTGTAAAAATACAATTGCTTGTTACTGTTGGTCCGAAGGACAAAACGTAATAGCACGTGTTTTAATTATAATATGGCGACATCTTCGGCTTTTGATGTTGCTGTGATGTTTATCTTCTTGAATGTGTTGAGAGCAGTATCAGCATTATGTAATGCTATAATACTGCAGCTGTTTAATGCAGCTAACCGTTTTATGATGTTACGTAATTCCCATGGCTACGTCATAAACATGAAGACCTTGGGGTCACTGAGAAACCTGACCTTCTTCATTGCTAATAGGTTCCTTTAGGAAGGCACAGGGAATACTGGTCAAATCTCTAAGAACTGTCTTCAGACTAACCGGCTTGGGAGGTTAAAGAAGCCACTCTTGATCCTACAATTTCTCGTTGTGTTTGATCGGCAAGACCTGTTTTTCAATCGACGGTCCGCAAATTCTACGTAGCGTGAAGTATATAAGTCTGTTGTCGTTGAAACATGTGATTATGAATTCTATTTTATTATTTAATATATCTTCCTGCATAGTTTTTAATAGAGAGTATTTATTGTGGGTGATTTTGACGTCTCTAACGTTTTTAAAACTAACAAAGGCGTTAATTTTTAAATTGTAAGTAGAGTACGTTTTTAGAGGAGCTGTTAATAGTCTGAATCGTAGGCTGTTGTTTGTGAAAAAGTAGGACTCGCGGAAAACTATCTGCTGTTTGTCGGCTTGCAAATCAGAGGATAATATGAGCTCCTTTCCTAGTTTCTCGACTTTTACAAGTGGCAGAAAATTCAACCGTCGTTTATATAATAAATCGGCGGTTTGTTTCCGGAACCCGACAGCTACAAATTATTTTTTTTTATTTTAGTAAAAAGAATGATCCGTGAAGGCCGGAAATGTTCTGCATGAAGTTTGATTGTTAACATTTGAACCAGGTACGAACCTGGTTAGGACGCGAACTTTATCTGTGCAAAGAGGCCAGTGCCGGGATCTTGCAGGCCTGCTGGTGTAATCGA